CATTAATTAGTCCGATATTAGAACGAAACAGCTTCCTAGTAGTTCCTGGTTTTCATTAGTTGTCTAAGTGTAATCCATGATGCAAACTATGAAATTTTAATAATCTACACAGATCTCCGACATTCATTAGTTCTTCATTTATCATTTAAATTATTTTTACTAACCAACTTCCTTATTTAGTTAAATGTTATGAAGGTTCACTTCTTTTGATTAATTTATGAAAATGATTAAGATGAACGAGCTGAGAATTAGGTGCCAAAATCAATGTCTGAATACCTACCTACCTACCGAATGCATTACACATCATAGAACACCTAATCAAATTACTGAATGTGTTAATATATTTTACGGAAATTTAAATTGTTTTTTATGGATGTCCAGTGCTTTGAGCACTGGACATGATACAATCTAATCAGTATAACTGAGTTATATATGTGATAATAAACAATTAACTCAAATCAGAAAATAACCAGTTATCAGTATGAGGTTGTGAAGATCATTAAGTTTTTGATTGACATCATGAACCGATTGATGTTAAACCGCCATTGAAAGCCTGAAAGCACCGAACAGCCGTTTCGTTCTATTGCGGGATTCAAACCCAGGGCCTTTGATCTCGTGCGCGAACGCTTAACCTCTAGACCACTGAGCTTGTCAGCATCCAATGGTGTTAATGTCTAACCTAAACCAATACACGAAATTTCCCGACCATCTTCGATTGTACTGAAGTAGATATTTATATCCACTCGTCTAATACTTCCAGGTTTTCAATGGTAGCCTAACATCAATCAATTCATGATCTCAATCAAAAATAATCAGATATACTGAGATATCTTCTGAAGACCAATTTATATTTCTATTGTACAAGCAATTAGAAAGAAGAATCCATAAACCTTAGTAACTAGATATTACATAAGAGATACTGTACAAAGTGTACTAAACTGAGGTTACTATAAATGAACTCGTTAGATCACTAGTATAAAATATCGATTTTATATATAAATCACTTTAAAATCATTAAAATCAATTTAAGTAAACAAGTTATGACTTTAATTTTAATTTATTAATGTCATAAAAGAAATCCAATCAAAAGACACTAATTGCCAACTGATTAAGTGTGGATTGCATTATTTTGGTATCATCGCACAGTAAGACAATATCATCCGCATACTGAAGGTGTTTATATATAAGGCTTTTAGGATGTTAATAAACTTCTCAGGCACACACATCATCAATAGACAATCCCAGAGAACAGTCCTGTCTAACGAATCGAAAGCGCCCCTGATGTCAAGAAACACTACGATTTTTGGCCGATGATAAGTATGACGGTGTTTTAACATTTGGCGGAGGGTGAAGATATGATCAGAACGATAACCAGCCTGCTCCTCGCGAGTCAATCTTTTGAACAATCTACGAAGTATGACAGAAGCCAATAGTTTGGACGCAATCGGAAGTAGACTTATCCCCCGATAGTTGTTACAGGAACGACGTGAATTTCACTAGTTTTGAATACGAGTCTCGGATAGACAACAGACATCGATGTTAAGACTTTCTAAAGACATAGCCAACCCTATTTGTTGTCCGGTCGGCATAGGTGTGTGGACGTTGAAGAAAGTCTGTTTGAATAGCATACGTAGTTCCAGTATTCGTACTCTATGGTAGCATTTAACTTTCAACCAGTCAGTGAATTGATTTTGGTTAGATAGGTCAGGGTTCGCACAAAAGACGAGCTGCTGTATAAGTCAAAAATAAAGATACACAAAGTGAGAATAGAAAAGAGTAGATTAACTTACTCGACAGTATACAGTTGTAGAGATTACTCAATTGGACTGAAATCATGAACGGATCTATGTTAAACCCCTACAATTTGTATTTGAATGTTGAAAGCATGAATGTGTTTTTCTTTATTACTTACTTTTGTCATATAATGTTTTAATGTAACGACACAACAGAATGTATGCTATGTCAGCTTGTGCATTAATTAGTCGATTACTCCAAAGGCAAGGTAAAATCATAGAAACCATAAGTGATTGCTAAATAATAGTTTGTTTTTTGGATGCTTTTAATTTTAATGAGTTAATAGTTAATGAATATCAAATGACATATACTAATATATGTTCCCGGAATTTTAAACTCATGACTAAAAAGTTCTTGTATTGTGATCGAAATAAAAACCTCAAATTCCTTATTTTAAATGAAGATAACTCATCATCCATGAAAAATACACTTCCAATTATAAAGGTGACTAACGTAAGTGAAGTTATTGGTTTTATCCTCATTGTTATATCTGGTCCCATCCCCGTCGCCAGTTGTTATATCTGGAACTTAGACTTTTTGATATACCACATACAACTTGAGGACTCCAACGCTAGTACCCTCCAAGTCACACAAATGAGAAGACAGAAGACGATTGAAAAGGAATGCTATTTCAAACAGTGTCAATTATAGTACAAAACTCTCAGATATTTATAGTGTCTAGTAAAAACAAAATCGTCATTATAATCATCCAATTCGCATACAGGGGTTGTTAGCATTTGTCCAATAGGGAAGCTGCACGTAGAGATTTTGGAATATTCTTCCAAAAGAAGATTGGATGAAATATCTTCTGCTCCTTTTGAGCTTCCTCGAGTTCACACGTTAGTCGTCGTCACACTCATATTTTAGCATAAAATACGGTATATCTAAGTATATTTAGATCTATCTCTCAAACCATTTGCCAAATATTGAATATAAATTCATTCATTCTACTTGTTTAGTGGATCCACGTCAAACTATGGTATCATCATTTAATAATAGAATTTAAGTTATTTAAAACGAAGTACACTAAACAGGATTTGAACCTATGATTGAGTGGTAGAAATGTGATTGCTTTAATCTACAGAGGGATCAGTTGGCAAATAGAAAACTGGCATAAGTTGAGTATAATTTCTATTATCAACATACATATGGGATACTATAAGCTGCTGACTTTAATTGTTGACCACGCCCGTGGGTTAAGTGAAGTTGAGGCGTCATTAACATATCACTCCATAGTTAAAGTGTACAGGACATTGAGCCACCAATATGAATTGTACCTTTTTTTCAATTATTTTTGTATTTTAAATTCGATAATTCATAAAGACGTTGTGTGATATGGTTCAGAATCAGTTGTAATAGTGCAAATGCATCCGCCCATTAGTATCCGTTAGATTGTGAGTTTCAAAATGATTTTATACCTTCTACTCTACAGATCCATTCTCCTTCCACAAATTATACTGTCTATGCTTGGTGTGTTTTGTTGACGCTGATACTGCTCCTACTTCAATCATTCTGACATGTATCTTGATAATTTCATCACCCTATGCTTATATGGTGTGGTCACATGAACCGATGCACAAATGTTAGATTCTAAGTTGCTTATAAAAACAGAAATGAACAACACATTCAACTGGTCGATTAATGGTTATATCACTTGAAATTTGTTTAATCTCGGATTTGAAGAATTGATTTTGTGACATAATTATCATTTAATCCATTCTAAGTTAATTCAAAATTATGCATTATAGTCAAACAAACTGTCATAACATTCTGTAAGAAAATATGTTGATCAAATGATCGTATTATTCATAATCATAAAAAGCAATCGTATTTATTTATTTTAACACATAGATATTGGTACAAGGAGGCACCAAATACATATGCACCACACAAATCTCATTTGATATGTGTGAGGGCTGTGATACTACCCGGATGCACAAACCGAAGCAGATGGTTTTATTAGGAGGCCACACCCGAGCCTTCGACCTGAACGTCTAACCCACAAGGCAGTGGGGCATCGTGAGGAGATGCAGTCCCATGGTAGCCGGTGACCAACCATTGGTTCATACGCCATTTGTTCCTTCAGGATACTGGAGCCCATGTGCACCATTGGTTTGGGATCCGGTTAGAGCCGGTGCCGGACATTCGCTTTTTGTCCTCTCATTTTCGTAAACAACAGTAATGCCACGAGAAGGCAGTGAGTAGGACTTCGCTGGCAAAGGCTATATACGCGTGGTCATGCATATTCAATTGGAGTTATGGATAAGTAAATCTTTCACCTATATTAAATTCAATTTGCTTTCATATGTGTGAGGATGATCTTTAATAAAAGTACGATATCTAGCATTTATGAACATTTAACGTGTCAGTATTGCATATAACAGTGTATCTCTCATCTAAGCCATTGTAGCTAATCCAAACTTGCCAGATGAAAAACAAAAATTACCAAAAAAAGAATAGTAAAAATTATAATTTGATATGAAATCCCCTCCTTCCCCCCCCCACCAGTGAAAAGTACGTTTTACATGTACCATTTATTCATTAAATGAATAAGAAAAATGCCTAGATATTGAGTAATATTTTAAACAGTGAGAAGCAAATACGAATCTCGCTACAAATTCATGGACAAATATACTATCATCCCTCTAGATTGTGTATTCTTACTTACTTTCTTTCCTTTTTTAGAAGAAAGAAAAAAAAAAGAAAAACTAAACAATTCACCTTACATAATAAAAAGAATAAAAATAAAACAACAAAATTAATACAATCTATTCACAAAACAATTTCTAAACAAAAGAGGGGAAAATGAAAGTACAAAGGTTAAAATTAATGAAATTATTTGATCTAAATATTAAATAATAGAAATAAATAACAATCTGTGAAATGGTTTGTATATTAAACCAGTAATATTTATTGAATGATCTTTCATTTATATAAAATAAGGCAGAGATAGATAGATAGACCTAGATTCATTATATTCAATTAAACAATGTTGAACAGTTCAACTGTTTGGGTACACAAAAGAAATACAAGATCAAATAATATCATTAAACATGTTGGATTTACACACTGTACACAATTTCATGGAAGGTGTAGACTGAAAAGGTATAAGAGAAAGTTCGTGTGTACGCTAGAAACACGATATATATATATATATATATATATATATATATATATATATATATATATATATATATATATAGAGAGAGAGAGAGAGAGAGAGAGAGGGAATACAGCATCAATGATACAGATAGAATTACAAAAAAAAAGGAATATAGAGATAAAAGAAAACGATCAGAGTATAAAGAAAGAATGAATGAAACATATCCAGACAAGGAAAAAATGTATCATTCATTATAACTCTTTACTTAATTATCTATAATGATCCACTTCACAACAGTTAATCAGACTATATGAGAAACATACTTATTATTATATATAGTCAGTAAATTGGATGAAAGACAGTTTAATATTTATTCATTTATCAATTAATGAGAACAAAATGAATTTATAAAAACAATTACCTACTTGAAATTCCAGTAGGTTGTTTCTTCCCATTTCTCTGTTTTCTTTCAAATATACGACATATATGCCATTGTCTTTTATGTACTTACATACATACGGGATGTGTATGAAACTTTATGTGTTTGTGTGTGTGTGTGTTTGTAACTATAAAACGATCAGTTACAAAAATGAAACAGAATAGTGTGATTGTGTAACACATTAATATGAGTAATCGATAGTAAAGAGAGGTATTTCAATGTGTGTTTCTCCTTACAGTTTATTCGTACATTCTATTATTATAATGATAATAAATTCAACAACAAAAAAAGAAGAAAAGAGAGAAAATCAAGCAAAAAATACAACAAATATTACAAAAAATATAATTAAAACAAAGAATACTTTAATCATAAGCCATCGACTTGAACTAATTGAACGAAAATAACGAATTAATTCTGAATGACCAGCTTCAATTGAAACTGCTGCATCATCAACATTAGCATCGATACGACGAATTGATTCATCTTGTTCATGAACCTACACACACAGAGAAAGATATATATATATACATTTGTATAAGTTTAGTTTCAAATGGTAATTGAACATTGAAAAGAAGAACCCTAGTAGAAATATTAGATAGTTATTCACCATAGGCGGTGAGAGATGATCGCGTAATATTGTGAATTTATTGAAATTAAACACGGAAACTATTGAATGATGGCTTTTTGATTTAAAGGTTAGGCTCTTACAGAGAAACCTGAAGGCTCTAGTGTTGGAGAGATCCAGAAAACTTCTCGAAAAAAGCCAAGAAACTCTCTGAAAACACTAAGAAGCATCTTATCTATTCAGTATTCATTAGAAGTTTTGCCAGAAACATCAAGAAAGTGAAAAGTCGCATGTAGAGTTTTTGATTGGATGATTACTTATACTGTTATTATGTTTAGTAGCATTCCAGAATTTTCGGGAAACCCAAGAATATCTAAAATACTATAAAAACCCTATATTTTTGTACATAAACGAACCTTTGGAGTAAAGTGTTCCTTACATATTTCTCGCCTTTTCTCTCGTGTTCAAGTCGCTGTGTAGATCTAGCCTGTGGGCTACTATAAGAGCTTAGAAACCAAATCTATCGTTCAATTACCAAGACTTATCATCTAGGTTCCATTCCCGATGGGGAAGAACCTGGGGATTGCTAAATAGTTTTAGACTACGAATAAACAAATGTCTAATGCTTTCTGGTTTTTAATGAACATCTAATTAAGATGTAAACCATGGAGATCCAACAATCGTTACAAACTCCTATGTCAATATTTTAAGAGTATATTTTATAACATTCGGTTGTTTAGTCACGTAACACACTTGCGCTCAATCATCTGACCAACGATCAAGTAACAAATCACATAATCAAAAGAGTATATTATGATGAAATACAAAAAGGAGCAGAGATATATACTACAAAATAGATATGTCGGGTAGTAGATAAGTCTATCTGCAATCATTAGTTAATCGCAGCTTATTTTCACAGAACACATCAGAATGGTTATTCATATTAATGCAGATTTGAGGTAAAAATTAATAACAGAGTAATCATAAGAGAATAGTATAGGAAAGATCTTCGAATAATTAAGACGAACTTTTAGCCAGTTCTTGGTCAATTAGAAGACAGCTTTGTAGTTTATGGGAAAGAAAGCAATGATATTCCAAAATGAAAGCAAATTTTACATAATTTAAGAGTCTATTGTCTGTCTATCTATCTATCTGAATATCATATAAATTCGTCAATATGAATGTACGATATCTGTCTTCTTGAACAATTATAAAGAAAAAATTCTTCAGGAGTCCCCAGACTGTTTTTGGCCTATAAATTAATGTTAGAATTTAAGATTAGGAGATAGGGTTATGATAAGTCTTGCAATTTTGAACGCTATACTCGATTCCTAAGCCATTCTGAAACCCCCAAACTAGAACTATACAGCGACCTGAACACGAGAGAGAAGGCACAAAGTATGCGAAAAGTACTTTACTCCAAGGTTCATTTTAATACAGAAAACACAGGGTTTTTATAATATTCTAAATAGCCTTGGGTTGCTCGAAGATTCTGGAATGCTACTAAACATAGTAGCGGTATAACAATCAACCAATCAGAACCTCTACATGTGACGTTTCACATCCTTGATGTTTTCTGGCTAACTTACTTACTTACTTACGCCTGTTACTCCCAATGGAGCATAGGCCGCCGACCAGCATTCTCCAACCCACTCTGTCCTGGGCCTTCTTTTCTAGTTCCATCCAATTCTTGTTCATTTTTCTCATATCTATCTCCATTTCCCGGCGTAATGTATTCTTTGGTCTTCCTCTCCTCCTTCGACCTTGAGGATTCCATATGAGGGCTTGTCTTGTGACGCAGTTGGGTGTTTTCCTCAATGTGTGTCCTATCCACTTCCAGTCCTTCTTCCTGATTTCTTCCTCCACTGGGATCTGATTTGTTCTCTCCCACAGTAGGTTGTTGCTTATAGTGTCCGGCCAGCGGATCTGAAGTATTTTGCGTAGACAACTGTTAATAAACACCTGTATCTTTTGGACGATGGATTTCGTAGTTTTCCAGGTTTCCGCCCCATACAGTAGAACTGTCTTCACATTTGTATTGAAAATTCTGGCTTTGGTGTTGGTTGCTAATTGTTTTGAGTTCCAGATATTCTTCAGTTGTAGATATGCTGCTCTTGCTTTGCCAATCCGTGCCTTCACATCTGCATCAGATCCACCGTGTTCATCGATGATACTGCCCAAATATGTAAAGGTTTTTACATCTTCCAAAGCTTCTCCGTCAATTGTGATTGGATTGGTACATATTGTGTTGTATCGAAGAATCTTGCTTTTCCCTTTGTGTATATTGAGACCTATTGCTGCTGAGGCTGCAGCTACACTGGTTGTCTTCTCCTGCATTTGTTGTTGTGTATGCGATAGAAGAGCCAGATCATCTGCGAAGTCTAGATCATCCAATTGCATCCTAGCTATCCACTGTATCCCGTGCTTCCCTTCAGATGTTGATGTCTTCATGATCCAGTCGATCATCAGGAGAAAGAGAAAGGGTGAGAGTAAACAACCTTGCCTGACACCGGTCTTTACTTCGAACGACTTTGTCAACTGTCATCCATGCACGATTTTGCAGTTTAATCCATCATAGGAATTCTGTATGATATTGACTATCTTCTGACGCACGCCGTAGTGTCGAAGAAGCTTCCATATAGTTGTTCTGTCCACGCTATCAAATGCTTTTTCGTAGTCGATGAAGTTGATATAGAGTGATGAATTCCATTCAATTGATTGTTCCACAATGATCCGTAGAGTTGCGATTTGGTCTGTGCACGATCTATCCTTACGGAATCCTGCCTGTTGGTCTCGAAGTTGGGCGTCTACGGAGTCCTTCATCCTGTTTAATAATACCCTGTTGAAGACTTTTCCTGGTATTGAAAGAAGAGTGATTCCCCTGTAGTTGTCACAGTTGCTGAGATCGCCTTTCTTTGGTATTTTGACTAGAAGTCCTTCTTTCCAGTCTGTTGGTACCTGTTCCTCATCCCAAATCTTTCTGAAGAGAATGTGGAGTATCCTTGCAGTTGCCGCTACGTCTGCTTTCAGTGCCTCTGCTGGAATGCTGTCTAGTCCTGCTGCTTTGCCACTCTTGATTTGTCTGATAGCCATGCTGATCTCTTCAATTGTTGGTGCGCCAACATCAATTGGGAGGTCCGTGAGTGCTGCTTCGATGTTGGGTGGGTTCAGTGGGGCTGGTCGATTCAAGAGTTCTTTGAAGTGTTCTACCCATCTGTTTCGTTGTTCTTCAATGTTGGTGATTATCTTGCCTTCCTTGCTTTTCACTGGTCGTTCTGGTTTACGGTGATTTCCAGAGAGTTTCTTTGTTGTTTCATACAGTTGTCTCATGTTTCCTTCTCTGGCAGCCTTTTCCGCCGTCAATGCCAAATCCTCCACATATTTACGTTTGTCAGTTCTGATGCTCCTTTTCACTTGCTTGTTTACTTCTGTGTATTCAGCCTGTGCCTTGACTTTTTCTGCTCTTGTTCGACTGGTATAGATTGCTGCTTTCTTGTTCCTCCTTTCTTGAATCTTATCCAGTGTATCGACCGTGATCCAATCCTTGTGACGGTGCTTCTTTTGGCCCAGAACCTCATGACATGTTGAAGTGATTGTTTCTTTTATCTCTTTCCAGTAGCTCTCCATAGTAGTTTCTTCTCCATTGAGTAGATCATGAAAGGCCTGGAACTTATTGCTGAGGGTTATCTTGAATTTATTGAGTTTGTCAGTATCCCGAAGAAGAGCTGTATTAAATTTTTGTGATATTGTCCTCCCCATTGTCCAGTGCCTCTTGAGTTTCACTTTCATCTTGGCGACCAGCAAGTGATGATCTGATGCTATATCAGCTCCTCCATTGTTCTCACGTCCTCCATCGTCCTCCTGAACTTTTTGTTGATGCAGATATGGTCGATTTGGTTCTGTGTGGTGTGATCCGGTGAAGTCCATGTGGTTTTGTGTATGCGTTTATGTGGGAATATAGTCCCGCATATGACCAGTTTATTGAAGGCACATAGATTTGCAAATCTCTCACCATTTTCGTTCCTTTCTCCCAGTCCGTGTCGTCCCATGATCTCTTCATATCCGGTGTTGTCAGTTCCAACCTTGGCATTTAGGTCTCCCATCAGAATAGTCAGGTCTTTTGTTGGGCACTTCTCGACGATTGACTGCAGCCTATCGTAGAATTGATCTTTAGCGTCTTCGTTGGTAGGCGCATAGCATTGGATGACGTTCATTGTAATCCCCGTTTTCTTGGTTTTGAAGGAGGCTTTGATGATCCTTGGTCCATGAGATTCCCATCCTATAAGTGCATTTTGTGCTTGTTTGGACAGCATCAATGCAACTCCTTGTGTATGTGGAGCATTTTCTTGTTCATGTCCGGAGTATAACAGCAGCTCCCCTGAAGCTAGTCGTTGTTGTCCAACTTGCGTCCAATGTGTTTCACTGATCCCAAGCACCTCTAAATTGTATCTCCTCATTTCTGCAGCAATTTGGAAAACTCTCCCAGTCTCCCACATTGTGCGAGCATTCCATGTACCTAAATAAATGGTTGCTCTGGTTGTCAGAAGGGGCATCGGCCTCGTGACTTCCGAAGAAACTCGGCTTTCATCGTGAGGCGTCATAATTCTTCTAAACGAAGACCTTCTGACTCCCAGGGCAGAGTTTAAATGGTTTGAATAATTCTTTCTGGTTAGCGTTTTTTTTAGCGAGTTAGTTTTCTACGGGATGGGGTCGCTAACCCCATGCCCAACCCTCCTCCTTTATCCGGGCTTGGGACCGGCAGTAGCCCCCGGAAAGGGGCTCCAGGCGGAGTTTTCTGGCTAAACTCCAAGTGAACGCTGATTGGATGAAATGCTTCTTAAGCTTTCCTGATCCTTGCGTCTTTTGCGAGAACTTTTCTGGATCATCCCAACAGGTTAGAGTGTTTATCACAAACTAACACCAATTAAAATTCATGAATACTTTGTCGCCATATAGATTGAAACGTTTGGGTCAGAATTGATGGTTTATAGTTAGGATTTAGGAACAATTACTTTTAATCCATAGCAAAAAAATGCAGATTGTCGTTATCATTTCAAAGGTTTTGAACACTATACCAACGAATTTGTACTGTTCGTTTTAATTGAACTAGGACAAAAGTCATTCATCTACCAATTTTGCATTTAAAAAAACACCTAACAGTCAGTTTTGTGACTATGATTAGTTAGTCAAGAAATTAGAATTTTAATAGAATAACAAATGCAACTCAGTAACTAAAGTATGAGATCATGTACTTGATTTTGAGGTACAACTTTTTGAGTGGACATTAGTCATACTACCCGGTCACTTAAGACGTTGTCACTCAGTTAGTGATCTTGAGTACTGTTAGAGGTATGAGGGTGGTTATCACATTCCGATTGCCCACACCGTGAAAGTGCTTCTGGAGATACCTAAAAAGGAAATTGGATTAGAGGTGGTCTTAGTGACCTGAGAGCATGGCCGCAGTGCCCAAGGAACAACTGCTTGAATTCCGTTACACACAACCATTTGTGAGTAATATTCGTGTTAGCTCCGTACTTGTTGAGACCTTACCGCCGGAGACGGATATCTGTGGGATAAGTCGAGGTGTGCATTTTTAGGGTCGACTTTGTCCAACCCCACCCATCCTTGTAGGAAGGCAGCATCTCTGTTATGTTGGCTGTCTGAAGGAAACACCTTAATGCCGTCACACCTCCGTACAGTCAGCAGTACGACTTCCCCTTCGGACCTTGGGTTTGCTGCTTTTAGTTTTACCGCTCTTTAACCGACCTGTCTGGCATGGTAGGACCTAGAGAAACGATTGTTCCAGCCAGTATAGCTCTCTTGGTAGGTAGGTTCGACCACCATGTCAAAGTAACAACAACGGCCAGGTTAAGACGTTGTACGAAGCATGGGATTTAAACATGAGAACAAGAGGCTGAAATTTGAATATTGTAATATTAACCCATCCATTCTACTAACTTACAATACATTTAACTGAACAGTGAGTTTCTACTATCAACTCACTATATACTCTTCTCAGCTAAATAATGTCAATTAGGCTGAAGTTTGAAGAGAATTATTATTTAAGTTAACTATATCAATTGCGGTTTCTTTTAAAGACAGTTTACGCTTGTTGAAATATTTCTGAAATTAAATTTAAACATCAAAAACGGTGATTGTTCAAGAATTTGTCCTTGTAATAGAAGTAGGCCCAACATACACAAGGGAAAAACAGAGATCCTCAAATACAACACAGAGGACACCAACTCAACGCCAACCGAATTACACTTGATGGAGAAGCTCTGGAAAATGTGAAATATTTCACGGGCCTGGAAAGTATCATAGGTGAACAAGGAGGATTGAATGCAGGCGTAAGGGCAAGCATTGGCAAAGCAAGGGCCACATTCCTACAACTGAAGATTATCTGCAACTTTAAACAACTGTCAACCAAGATCAAATTCAGAATCTTTAATACAAATGTCAAGACAGTTAGTTCTATTGTACGAAACTGAAACTTACAGAACTACTACAACCATCATCAAAAAAGTACACATATTTATAAACACTTGTCTAAGTAAGACATTCGATGTCTGTCAACTGGATACCATCAGCAACAGCCTACAGCGGGAGAGAACAAACTAACTCCCAGCTGAGGAGGAAATTAAGAAAAGATGTTGGAGGTGGATAGAGCATACATTGCGGAAGTCATCAAACTAACTTATAATCCTGAAGGGAGACGAAAAAGAGGTAGGCTAAAGAACACACTGCGTCGGGAATTGGAAGTAGACCTGAAAAGGATGAATAGAAACTGGGAAGGATTGCCCAGGACAGAGTTGGATAGAGAATGCTAGTGGGAGGGGTAACAGACTTAAGTAAGTAATGTGCTTACATAGTTGACAAATACTCAATGTGTGGAAAAAGTTACCAACTAACGAGTAACACTAGAAGATGATTGTACAATATCGCGAAGTAATTGTAGTTAAACATGTGAAATATTATATGCCACTCACCACGAGACCTAAATATCCTGGGTTCCAAACCCGATGGCAGTGAAGCTTAACAGTCTTAAGTAGTTTCACAGTCGGATGAGATAGCTATCTAATACTTCCTGACTTTCAATGATTGTATAATTAGAGATAATTGGTGATGTAAACTATTAAAAAAAAAGCGTGTTGACTAATTGAAGTACCAAATGAAAGTTTTTAATTATAATCTGGTCGTCATCTATAAAAACAAATACATTGCTATCGCGAATTCAGGTACATCCTTTACATGATATTATTGATTAATTTATCAAAAAAAATCAATAAAACACGAACAAAAAAACAACAACCGAATTCAATCTTTTCATTTTCTTGTTATTATCTATTCATTCACATATGTATAAACAACAAAACAGAATTTACTTGAAAATACTTTTTAAGTAGTATGGACTTCAGTAGTATAATTAAAATGAATATAAAAAAGACAAATCAATTTTTAAGTCTCCTGATACATAATGAGTTTAAAAGATATCTATATTTCTGTCCATCTAATTCGATAAGAAATAATAATCATAAATTGGTAGAAGAGTTTTGTAGAGATAAGTTTAATCGCGAATTGTTATGAATTAGTAATGCGAACCACGGTGAATTCGACAAGTTCGATGAAATCTATAGATTTATTTTAAATTATATTTGAAATAATCTCAGCGATTGAAATTTGAAATAATTCCAACGTTTCGTCCAGCTAACTTGTCTGGACTTCTTCAGGGTAATAATCAAAATCATCAAAGCTTTGATGATTTTGATTTTGATTATTACCCTGAAGAAGTCCAGACAAGTTAGCTGGACGAAACGTTGGAATTATTTCAAATTTCAATCGCTGAGATTATTTCAAATATAATTTATAATGACTTCTTTATACTCGGCGCCCAATATCTGTCAAACTATTCGTTCTAATCTTGACGAATATTCGTATATAGATTTATTTATTTATTTTGACACATAGATATTGATGCAAGGAGGCACCAAATACATATGCGCCACATAAATCTCATTTGATATGTGTGAGGGCTGTGATACTGTCCGGATGACCAAACCGAAGCAGGTGGTTTTATTAGAGGGCCACACCTCGAGCCTTTGACCTGAAGATCTGATCCACAAGGCAGTGGAGCATCGTGAGGAGATGGAGTCCAATGGTAGCCGGTAACCAACGATTGGTCCATACGCCATTTGTCCCTTCAGGATACTGGAGCCCATGTGCACCATTGGTTTGGAACCCGGTTAATGCGCCGGACATTCGCTTTTTGTCCTCTCAATTTCGTAAACAACAGTAATGCCACGTGAGGGCAGTGAGTAGGACTTCGCTGGTAGAGGCTATATACGCGTGGCCATGTGAGAGCATTTCGAGAGGGAGAGCGGACTCTCTCCATTCTCGGTCGTACCAGGGAGTTTGGGGGCTTGTTTGATGTCTGGTTAGATCGTGATTACGGACTGGCATAGACTACCACACTAGAATAAAACAGTTATTTACTACTAAGTTTCGAGTTTTTGATGATACCCTGACAGATATCAATCCGTGATGAATATCATTTGTAAAAGTAATTGATTCTATAATCATCTTCTTATATAATTTGTATATATTATCCACTTATTCATTCATTTGTGTTATTTAGACAAAACAACTAACTTCATTGGCAGGTTCATATATCTGTGGTCATTCTGTAGCATGATAGTCTGTATATACTGACCAACCAGAACAGTAGCTTTCCAAACGGTTTTCGTTTGTGGAACAAACTACCAACAAACTATACAAATTTCGAGAAGCTATATAAATAAATATTCGTATTGTAAATTTGTACACATCTAAAATATATGGTACTGTAAAATTAATATATAATTGATGAATAATGAAAAAATAATAATAATTTAACTAACCATAGTAGCTAATTGTTGAAAAATTTGCCCCAGTTCAACAATTGTATGTTCAATACTTTGCATTGCATCTGATCGAGATTGTAAATAGGAATCAGTCTGATCAGGATTGATATATTTTTGAGCAAGTCCTAAATTTGAGTTTACAGATAGAGTAGATAGTCCTAAATTCCCTAAACCATTCAATCCATCATTTCCTTGTTTTTCACTGAGTAAAGCTTCTCTGGCACGTTCATCATCCTTTATAAATATGAAAATAAAAAAACACCGAGGGTCACCACTATTCAGATGAACGCATAAGTTAAAAGGGTAATTTTATTTAATTTTAACCAAACGTCCATTTATAAAATCTAATTAGTGAGATTATAACGATGACCGACCATTAAGCGACACTAGAATTGTAGTGTGTGCTACTGATGTCGACAGATACAAGTAGTATGTATCATCAGTCTCAAGATGTTTTGTAATTTTCTAAATGAAAGAAGAAGTCCTACTGTATGGAGCTGAAAATTGGAGAACTACTACAACCACCATCAAGAAGGTACAAGTATTTATCAATAGCTGTCTACACAAGATACTCGACATCCATTGGCCGGATACCATCAGCAACAGCTTTCTGTGGGAGAGAACAAACCAGCTTCCAGCTGAAGAGGAAATTAGGAAAAGACGATGGAAATGGATAGGACATACATTATGCAAATCATCAAACTGCATTACGAGGTAAGCCCTAACTTGGAATCCTGAAAGGAAGCGAAAAAGAGGAAGGCCAAAGAACACATTACGTCGGGAAATAGAAGCAGATATGAAAAGGATTAATAGAAACTAGAAAAAGCTGGAAAGAATTGCCCAGGACAGGGTTGGATGGAGAATGCTGGTGAGTGATCTATGCTCCTTCACAAGGAGTAACAGGCGTAAATAAGTTTGCAATTTTATGTTTAAATACATCCTATTGTCTCCACTTGTGTTCTCGTTCACTACAAGATGACCTTCGGAAAACTCACCTACTTACTAGGGGTCAAAAGAGGGTAAGAAAAATTAGGATTACGGCTGAGAATTCAAAGTTAGGGTTAAAAATTAGTGTTGGGGTTTCATCACGAAATGCTCTTTAACCAAAAAGATGAATGAACTCCGCGACAAAATCCAAAATTGACCATCTTTATTTTTAGCGTAACTTATCAAAGTTTAGGTATGTATACTTAGCTTTATGTAAATAATAACAATACTAATCAACCGTCTAAACTTACATAGATAAAGTGGTGTTCGTACATGTTAATATCATGATAACTTAGCGAGAATATGCACGATAAAAATACATGAGCATGTTTAATTTAGAGGTAGTACACGTTTCTTTGGGATTTGATCTATACGTTATTTCTAATTGTTATAATGGGACGGATATTGTAAAAGTTGGGACTGGTTTTATAGAATTACTGTTAATTATAATTTTGTTGTATAATTATTAAGTAACTACATTACTTTGTCTGTTTATTTCACTTATTAGAAGCTCTCGGTTAATCCGTAAACTATTAAATGATCGTGGATGCGCACTGCTGAGGAGTCCCATACTAGGACGAAACGGCCGTCCAGTGCTTCCAGGTTTTCCATGGTGGTCTAGCTTCAATGGATTCATGATTTTAACCAGTGATATTAAATGATTTGTCTTCCATATTTTGTTGCCAGTCTATTATTAAGTCTCCTCCACTCACAGACACTTTTGGTTTGTTCATGCATAATTGTGACTTTTTAATTTATGGTGTGATGTGGCCGGATATGTCTGTATACAAATTATATATGCTTGAAATGTAATGTAGTGGAGGCTGACTACTGACTTTTGGGTTCAAAGAGTGGGGTTGAGAGAGACGCCACAGAATCATGAACCAATAAGGACCTATCAGTTGAATTAAGATTACTAGTGCTGGTTGTACGTGTAGTTGATCAAACCAGAGATACTAAGTCATAGGAATCGGGATACTGATTGGTGATTTTGCCACGTGGTACTAGCAGCGGCCTTCAAGACAATATCTTTTTGAGCAGAATAACGATATAAGCAAATACTAGGCTAAATAATTAGGCTACTTACAGTCAACACTGTGTACTTTAAAATATTTGGATGGAGTTTTTGTATGGATTGAGTATACTTTTTAAACATTTTAAAAACTCCACGATAACTGATGTTAACAAACATATTATCACTGGGAAGAAACTATTGCAGTTAAGAAATATTAATGCTATCTATCTATCAATAAAAGATAAGTGCATACGATGCTTGCGACCTGGCACAAATGTGAATCACAGTAAGCATTGGAACCTTGTATTGACTAACACAGAAAAAAAATATAAGGAAAAATAGTGGGGAGAAATTAACCGCGTACCAACATTGGTGGAATAAAGAGAAAAATCAAGGAAACTGGTGATAGAAATTTCATAGTTTTTAAATTACGAACTATCTTAGCTAAACCAGTACTGAAAATCTAGAATTAGTGGATGGCTGTTTCGTTCAAGTATAGGGCTCGTCAGAACTGGGCGTTCATGACCCTACATTCAAGAATCAAAGCTTTAATCTTAGCAAATCCCTCCTACACTTATAGTAATCCTGTACTCACCTGTGACTAACTTCAGCACGCAACTACTAGAGTTCTAGTAAGAAGTCATAACCCGTGGAGTTCAACAATATTAGGTGTAAAACGGTTGTCCACTAAAGACAATGGATGGGGGTTGGGAAATATCGTGAATTGATTGAAATTAAACATTAACACCACTGGATACCGGCTCAGTGGTCTAGTGGTTAAGCGTTCGTGCGCGAGACTGAAGGTCCTTGGTCCGGTTCCTGGGCGTGGATTCGTGTGTGCGCACCGCAGAGGGTTTCCACACTTGGACAAAACAGCCATCCAATGCTCTCAGGTGTTTTAGCTAAGATCAGTTTGCGACTTAAAAACTACAGAAATTCTACGATCCCCACAAATCCCCCCATAGAAATTCATTAACAGGATAAAGCTTTGACTATTTCACGATCTAATCCAGCCAAAATGAGGATAAGTCGATTAGTCCACTTTCTACAAATCAGAGCCAGTGGGCGACTGGAGATATTAGGAGGTAATTATATAAATTCTACTGTTCCGACTTCTGGATCTTTATTGTGCAGGTTTATTGGGTTATGCATTGTTCGTTCTCAATTAATGTTTTCATTTGAGTATAACCAAGTGCAATATAATCAAGGTATATCATACAGTAGAAGAACATAGAACAACAAAAGTAACAGTTGATATGGCATCTAGGATTTAAAGGAAATTATAGAACCATGCTTACTTTTAACAAAACTGACGGGATAACAACATGTGGGGGTTTTACAGATGACATTGTTTCAGATGATTCATACTTGTCATCCAATGAACTATATTTGCTTTTACGAGCATTCTGTGACTTTATATTCTCAGAACGGTATTCTAGCACTCCTCGAAATTGATCAGACATTTTAGCGAGATGCGTTTGCAAAACCATTAGTACTGAACGAGAGTGTGTAGATTGTTGTTTCCCGACAGATACCTGTGACAAAAAGAAATAGTACGACTTCATTAAAGGAGCATCCTGATAATGGAAAAGAAAATTTTTGTTAACTCGATTATTATAATGGTTCTCATGTAAAATTAGATTTCAAAATGCATATAAAACTTAGATGATGTATGTTATAAATCTGTAGCATAAACTATTAGTCTATACATAGTATGATAAAATGGAACCTCAAAATTTAGGTTTATCTGTGATTTTCATAAATTACCTAACTGAATCATACCTCAGTATGCACTAGTAACTCACTCCGAAACAAACCGCTAGAAGTCTTGGATGGACAAAGTGAGACCGAATAAAATGGGTACACATTGAATGAGAACGAATGTATCGGAGTACAGAATGGAGTTATAGTTGTGAGTATATTATGAGAATATTGAAGAATGTATGTATTATTTTGTTGGTAGATCTTATATTTATAAGAGTTAGTAACTTGTCTTTTACATAACACTGTACATAACTCATTGACCAGAAACAAATTCATTTATTCGACTTTCTGACGGAGTTCGAACTCGCGACCACGTGACTGAAGGTTAGTAACTTCAGTGATTAAGCCACTGATACAAAAGGTAAGGAACTTATATATAAATTCTAATTACTATTATTTTTTATTATTTGTTTATTTATTTTAACACATAGATATTGATACAAGGAGGCACCAAATACATATGCACCACACGAATCTCATTTGATGTGTGTGAGGGCTGTGATACTGCTCGGGTGCCCAAACCAAAGCAGGTGGTTTTCTTAGGGGGCCACACCCCGAGCCTTTGACCTGAACGTCTGATCCACAAGGCAGTGGAGCATTGTAAGGAGATGTAGTCCCATGGTAGCCAGTGACCAACCATTGGTTCATACGCCATTTGTTCCTTCAGGATACTGGAGCCCATGTGCACCATTGGTTTGGAATCCGGTTAATGCGCCGGACATTCGCTTTTTGTCCTCTCAATTTCGTAAACAACACCCCCACCACGAGGAGGCAGTGAGTAGGACTTTCCTGGTAGAGGCTATATACGCGTGGCCATGTGAGAGCATTTCGAGAGGGAGAGCGGACTCTCCCCACTCTAGGCCGTACCAGGTCATTTGGGAGCAATTAGTATTATGTGAACAGATGTAGAAAATGATAAACCAATTAATGGTGCTTCCTTCAAGTTTCATACCGTTTATAAAACAACACATTGGAGCATAAAGGTCTATCGTTGAAGCTATGTTGATTACCACTTTGGATGAAGTTATGAAACAAACTTATAATATGTATGTTGTGATACAGGTGGTTTACTTCTATTTTTAAAATATATGGTACTTGAACGCTTCATAGTCTTCTAAATATACAACCAAAAAAGAATGGTGTGTTTATCTGACACGCAATTAACATCAAAAACAACGCTATGAAAATTTTTACTCTACAGAGTGAATGTCCGTTTTAAGTCAATGAATATGCGTATTTGAAATTGTTAACAAGCTCCATGTTGGTACTTCTCTTTTTTGTGACAGTCCAGTCAGTCAGTTGCAACGTAAAACCTGGCATGTATGTACATCGGTTCAAGTTGCCATACTCCGTCAGCATAGAGAGATGAAATTGTTAGGCGAAATTCCACAATAGATGTAATAACAGTATCAGTGGTTACAGAAAAGGCTAGGCATTGAAGATGCAATTCAAGAAAACATGAATTAGTGAAACAAAAGAATTAGAGGAATCCAGAAGTTTAGAATTTGGAGGAAGACAAATAATGAATGCATCTGCGCCATTGCAAACGATTTTGAGTCCTGTCATTAAAAGTCTTTGACCATAGGTTACGATAAACGCGCGGACTGTGACCAGGTAGTCTACATCTGTCGACGCCCCCAAATGCCCTGGTACGGCCAAGAGTGGGGAGAGTCCACACTCCCTCAAGAAATGCTCTCACATGGCCACGCGTATATAGCCTCTGCCAGGGAATTCCTACTCACTGCACTCACGTGGCATTACCGTTGTTTACGAATGTCCGGCGCTTTAACCGGATTCCAAACCAATGGTGCACATGGGCTCCAGTATCCTGAGGGAACAAATGGCGTATGAACCAATCGTTGGTCACTGGCTACCATGGGACTGCATCTCCTCACGATGCTCCACTGCCTTGTGGATCAGACGTTCAGGTCAAAGGCTCGGGGTGTGGCCCCCTAAGAAAACCACCTGCTTCGGTTCGGGCACCCGAGCAGTATCACAGCCCTCACACACATCAATTGAGATTCGTGTGGTGCATATGTACTTGGTGCCTCCTTGTATCAATACCTATGTGTTAAAATAAATAAATAAATAAACATCTGTCGACATGGCTCAATTCAATTGTCAATGGTCTCATGGCCTGATGCCACAACAACTATTATTTATTATTATTTTATTTGAACACATAAATATTGGTACAGGGGGGCACCAAATATATATGCGCCACACAAAACAATGATAATTTGAAGAGAAGGAGAAAAGAGAAAAAAAGAAGAAAAAATAAGTAATGAACGTGGGGAATTATAAAAAAAATGGAAAGAGAGAGAACAATGGTGGGGGAAACGGAAAGGTACAATCAGAAGAGATCTTTCAGTTAAGGAAGATACAACCACTTTTTATGAAGAAAGTAAGAGGTTACAGCACGATCGCCACTGGCTTCTATTCTGAGCCATATCTGATAACGTCTCAAGCCACTGAGTTACACCGTCTCTCGGACCCCAACCAGGGAGTTGTGAAGGACCAACAGAAGCTAGCCCTTTGCAGCTTTCTTTCATACCACGACACCATGTCATATACTGACCACCTCTCCGTTTTTTCCAACCAGTCCCAGAGTCGGCAAATAATGCACGACGTGGAATTCTCTGGGACGACATTCGTAGAACATGTCCAAGCCACCGAAGTCGGTGTTTCAAGATGGTGACACCAATTTCATTATCGTCTCTGTGACCGAACACTCTATGCCGAACCTCTGCATTACTGACATGGTGTTGCCACTGGATGCCAGCAATCCTTCGGAGACAACGATGATCGAACACAGAGAGTCGTCTAACATCCTCAACTCGGAGAGGCCAGGTTTCACAAGCATAGAGCAAAACTGCTCTCACCGTCGCGTTGTAGATCCGACCTTTTACAGCCAGACTAACATCACGAAGGCGCCAAAGATGACCCAGATTGGCATAAGCCGCTCTGGCTTTCACTATACGTGCATTGATCTCATCACTCACACCACCACCAGCACTTATGCAGCTACCTAGATACACGAACTTCTCGACTACTTCAATCTGCTCACCATCCAGAGTGAGTACAGGATTAGAATCCTGCCAGTCTTGTAGAAGTACTTTGCACTTCGAAGGTGCAAAGCACATACCATACCTACGGACACTGATTGCCAACTGATTAAGTGCGGATTGCATGGCTTGGGCATTATCACACGGTAGGACAATATCATCCGCATACTCAAGGTCGAGAAGTCTTTCTCCAGGCAACAGATCCACACCACCATTACTTACATCCGTCAGAGCTGTTTCCAGAATGTCATCGATGGCAAAGTTTAAGAGGAATGGTGAGATTGGGCAACCCTGCCTAACCCCACTGCTCGAATGGAATAGTGGAGAAAGGTGATTGTATGCCCTCACTCTGCCTGAGGTGTTTGTGTATAAAGCTTTTAGGATGTTAATAAACTTCTCAGGCACACCCTTCTTCAATAGACAATCCCAGAGAACAGTTCTGTCCAACGAATCGAAGGCAGCCTTGATATCAAGAAACACTACGATTGTTGGCCTTTGATAAGTATGGAGGTGTTCTAACACTTGGCGGAGGGTGAAGATATGATCAATACATCCTCGACCAGAACGAAACCCAGCCTGCTCCTCACGAGTCAATCCTTCTCGGGTTCTGAACAACCTACGAAGTATGACGGAAGCCAATAGCTTGGACGCAATCGGAAGTAGACTTATCCCCCGATAGTTGTTACAGGAACAACGTGAACCCTTTTTAAAGATAGGGACAACTATCGACTCATTCCATGACGTTGGTACACTCTCTAGTTCCCAGATCTTTGTAAACAACGTCGTCAGTCCCTTAGTCAGAAAGTCACCACCATCTTTAAAAAGAGCCGGAGGTAAGTCATCTGGGCCCGGTGATTTGTAACGTTTCAAGAGTTGGAGTTCCTTTCGGACTTCCGCCTCATTTGGTGGATCAGTCGTCACCGGCCATGGAGGGCAGGACAGTCTGACCGATGTTGCCGGAGCAGCAGGCCAGTTGAACTGCCCTTCAAAGAATTCTGCCCATCGTCCAAGACGTCGATGGATGTTAGTGATTGGCGTTCCGTCATCCTCGCAGATTGTTTCGCTCACACCAGACTTCTTGCTGCCAGTGGCTCGGATGAGTTGGAAGAGCTTCCGGTAATTACCAGATGCAGACGCTGCTTCCAGCTCATTAACACGCTACAACCACCAGGCTTCTCGGTCCTTACGCAAGCTTTGTCTAGTTTCAGCACGTAACATCATTCGTTTGTGGTCAAACTACCGGTCACCCGGAGTAGACCGACGGGCTTCAATGAGTTGTAAGGAACCAGAAGAAATCCAGTGCTTGTAAGCGGGACGTTTCGCAAACCCACAACAGACTGTACCCGCCATTTTCATGGCGTCATGCAATTGCAACCAATGCTCATCTATACTTTTCGGTGGAATGGTAGCTAGCCTAGAAGCTAGCTCGGTTCGGTACTTACTAGCAACAGAAGTTGCAGCCAGCTTGCTAACATCAATCCTTTGGTGGCGGTCACTTTGTTGTCCACTGAAAAGTAAGGTAAGATTGGCGCAGACCAGAGCATGATCAGATTCCAGATAGGTACTCCAAAAGGAGCGGCAGTCTTGTACACAACCGCGCCAGCGGTAGCTGATCGCGATGTGATCAATCTGAGTCCAGGCTTGAGATGCAGAAGGGGGACGCCAGGTGGCACATCGGCGATGACTGTGCTGAAAGTTAGTGCTAACCAGAAACAGGTTGTGGTCTGTGCATAGTTGCAGTAGACGTTCCCCGTTATCTGTCCTGCGACCAACAAGTCCCCATCGGCCACCTAAACGACTCTCTTCTGTGCCTAGACGCCCGACCTGAGCATTCAAGTCTCCAGCTAGTACTACAATATCTGTCGAACGCACTTTCTGGAGAAGAACAGTTAGCTGATGGTAGAACTCGTCCTTGATTGCATCCGGGCTGCAATCTGTCGGGGCATAGGCGGAGATGACGAAAAGACATCGTTTCTCACGCCGATTTCTTCTCACTTTGATGGAACTTTCTAATCTAACAGCACATAACCGACTGTTAATGGGGATCCAGTCGACTAGTGCTGCCTCAGCTCTTGCGCTTAGTGCGACACCAACGTCAGCAAGACCAGACGAAGATGCCACAGGGTCCCCGGATAAACGCACATAAAACAAGCTTTTTGAAGTGACAGATGGAGAGCGAACTTGTAGTACTTCACCAGAGTCTTGAATACGGGTCTCGGATAGACAACACACATCAATATTAAGACTTTCCAAAGACATAGCCAGCCCTATCTGTTGTCCGACCTGCATAAGTGTGCGAACGTTGAAGGTAGCCAGTTTGAATGGTGTACGTGGTTTCAGAAAAACTGCTTCAGTACTCATATTCGGTAGTAACATACAATTTTCAACCAGGCAGTGACTCGAGAACGTTTAGATAAAGCTGAATTTTCACCATAGGCGAGCTGCTGTCTGAGTCGAAGCGGATACAAAAAGTAGAAATAGGAGATAGTGAATAAATGACGTAGTAAATAATAATAATAATAACAATAATAATAATAGTAATAATAATAATACCAGTCATTTCAATGTTAGTCGGAAAGAAACGAATATTTTCTATAAGCATATAGTTCATCATAGTTTTAGTGAGTGGGCTGGGATACTGCCCGGGTGCCCAGACCGAAGCAGGTGGTTTTCTTAGGGGGCCACACCCCGAGCCTTTGACCTAAAGGTCTAGTCCACAAGGCAGTGGAGCATCGTGAGGAGATGCAGTCCCATGGAAGCCGGTGACCAAAAGTTGGTTCATACGCCATTTGTTCCCGCAGGATACTGGAGCCCATGTGCACCATAGAATTGGGATCAGGTTAAAGCGCCGGACGTTCGCTTTTCGTCCTCTCATTTTCGTAAACAACACCCCCGACACGAGAAGGCAGTGAGTAGGACTTCCCTGGCAGAGGCTGTATACGCGTGGCCGTGTGAGAGTATTTCGAGAGGGAGGGCGAACCCTCCCCGCTCTCGGCCATACCAGGGCATTTGGGGGCCCACAACAACTACTTACAGTAAAACTGTGTCACAAATATTGTGTCACGAGCGATAAAACCAAAATACGTCCCTGTCAACTAATTCCCGAGGAAAGACCTATTCATGAAAATAAACTTGGTTCAACTCACCTGAGATTTCGAAATTTCTTGTAAATTAGCAATCCTATTGTTTAGGTTCGCTATAGACTCTTTTATAACATATGTTAAGTGTTGAATTTCCGAACTATGGTCATCGAACAGCGTTTGCTTTCGAGCTAATGCATTCAACTGTTCCAATTTAGAAAATGTATTTGTTAGATCTTGACTAATGACTGAAGCCGCTTTCATAAACTGTGAACGCTGACTAAGAGCAGTAGATTTTTTGTTAGAGTGATCTTGATTCTTTATAGATCCATTCGGAACATTAATTTTGTGTGAAATATTGTTTTCAAATACGGAATCATTGGAATTAGCCTTAGGCATCCCCAGAGATGTGTGATCCATTACGTGATTTCCAAGTGGATTAGAAGATGATTCATCTTGACGCTTAAAGTCATTCAATTTAGAACGACTAAGTTGAACGGAACGTATAAAATCGGAGGTACGATCAACTGCTGAACACATCTAAAATAGATTATATAGTTATCTTTTTTAAGAAAATAGAATTGTCAAAAACACGAAGTAATAAATCATTTATGTTCAGTAATTGATCACAAGCTATTAAAATCATTCATTAGAGCACAAAATATTGTTATAGCTCAGTACATTGAACAGCATCACGTACATTGATGAGCAGCCCAATATGCTTCAACAACGGAACTTGGAAACATTTTTCGTAAGACAAAAAGAATAGGAGAGAGATTTGCATAATGGGACAAGGATGAAAGTAAATCTTAACGTAAATAACCAAAAACATGTGGGTCATAGCCCTATAACAGTCCAGAAAAAAAAGTATGAATTCAAGCTTACTAAAGCCTATAGAAGAGTGTGGCACTTCGGAATTGCATGGAAATGGGTCAACAATATCACTGAGAGATTACTCACAGACTTTCATCTCTCTTGAACCAAATTTGACAAGTATCTCGGAAGTGAAAAATAACGTTTGAAAAAGCCAGGTGGTCCTAAGATTGCTACACAGTGTCTCAGCTAACGTCGAAGTTAATAAGAAAACCGTCCACATACGTGTATCTGTATGAGTTTTAAGGAATGACGAACAGTTCAAACCTAATGACCCTATATGTCCAAACAAAAAAGAATGCGTTGCAGACGACACATGAATTGTACTATACTTATCGACGGACTAACAACTAGTTCACAGAAAAATTATTCACTTAGAGGACATAATTGATTATTTTAGAATTACTTGTCCATCAGTCGGCTACAACATAGGACCAGGAACACATATGCATCGGTCCAGGTTGCCACACCTCATTATTTTATTTTTTTATTTCAACACATAGATATTGGTACAAGGAGGCACCAAATACATATGCGCCACACAAATTTCAATTGATATGTGTGAGGGCTGTGATACTGCCCGGGTGCCCAAACCGAAGCACACCGCATTAGTACAGCAAGATGAACACCGAATTCAAAGAAAGTCACGTCAATGGTAGTAATATATAAAAGAAAGATTATGCATAAACATATAGTACAGGAAGAGAGAATTAGTTGATAGGAAGATATATAAAGCAATTATAATGTCACAGTTTAAGGGAAGACAAAGAGTGTATACACCTATGCCATTGTGATTGATTCTGAGCCATATCACACAGTCTCCAACCATTGGCTACGATAGTCGCGTGGACCCTGACCAAGTAGTCTGCATCTACTAACATGACTCAGACAAGAAGTTGGTGACTTAAAAATGTACGTAACAGGTTACTTTAACACAGATTCACTTGACACAAATACATTTACAGAAAGGTTTTTAATAAATATAATGATCAGGTTACAGCTAACGAAATTTTCTTTCCCATGATGTCGTACAATCACATTTATAGTTAATTTTTCCATATAAAAGTCTACGATAAAGTCGAAAAATTTTGGATTTAACAACGTTACCAAATATAATTATGAGAGCAACAGTGCCTTAATGATTTTAGGCATGCCATAATAATGAGTATGAATTAAAATCAAGCCTGAACTAGATAGTTTCGTGCTGATTGCCACCATTCACTTAACAATATGTTCAATTATCCAATATGGGTTGCTTAATAGTCACTAGAACAAATAAGTAGTGACTGATAGAAATGCACAAGAAAACTGTATGGAGAATAACCGAGTAACTAATGAAAGCAACCTCAAAAATAGAAAGGCGTCCTAAGACAATTATAGAATAAGAAGTTGACCTTGCATTACTGGAACACACAAAACAAACTTGGAGTGGTGAGCTGAATAAAGCTTCTAACATATGCAATTTTCTAAAACGAGTTCCCTTTGAGGCAGTTCTTTTAACGTTGCAGATGATCTTGACATCCAATTGAAACCGGAAATCACTGGGCAGCTGTTCCTGCCTAAAACTGAACTCATTCAGTGAGCATTCATGACCCTACAGTGACTTCTAGAACTGGTGTTCATAGGATTTAAATTCACTAAAAATTTGTCTGAAGTGCGACCGATAAAAAACATTGGAAACCCAAAATACCGTAACACTTACGGGGATAATTAACAAAGTAGGAATGTCTCACTCACAATTACGTCCTAGGAAGGACAGGTACAACGTAGTAGCGCAATACTCCAAAACTACCACAACAATTAAACTAACAAAGTACAATCAGTGTCAAGAAAAAATAATTAACTATTAGTTACTCCTGGTGTGTGTAAGTGTTTAATTCTTTCAGTTATGGAAAAGTGAAATTCTTTTTTCCATCCATTAAGAGCCAGAAAGAACTAAATCTAATTGATAATGAAGTTGTAGGGCCAGTGAAATTCCCCTGAGCCCTAGCCAAATCATCTAGCAGTTGGGTCATTGAATATCGAACAAATCATCGATCCTCGTCGATGTCAAGGACAACCAGCGCTCATCAGTTGATCGTACTCCATGGACTGGCCCATGCGGCAGTGGTTTCACCTTCGCTTGTACCTACTTTAACTAACATATTTCTGTAATAACGTCCTTTGTGTTGTTCAGTCTTCAAAGCATCTACAGTACCTTGATACGTCAATGGGGTAATCCACGTAAGGTGCTGACTGAGAAGTGTGACTTCGACGTCAGCTAGTTTGTCACAACACTCACGTCTAACTCGAGTAAGCCTCCAATCATTTCGACATAGATCATCTACGTTGGTGATATACAAAATGAATGGTTTTCGAAGAACAATTGTAGTCCACCTTAGTACCACTGAAAATAAAATAAATTTCTGTTCTCCCCCTAATGCAGTCATCAAAATTTTCCGCCGCTGTTGCTCTCAAGAGTTAGTTCCACAGTTTGTAGTCTTTTCACAAAAGAATTCGTATGAATTTTTCTACTATTCAATGAAGTTTACCAAGTATAATTTAGTATTGAAGTATACTGATTGCTCTTTAGAAGGAGCGGCGTCGTGTGCAACTGAATGCACCATGATCATAGTCCCTACTACACAAGGAGGTCAGGCTTTTTGTGATGGGTACTAGTTGCATCTTACGTAATATTTTCTCATCAACATAGGTAAAGATGCCACGGGTATTCAGGGTATAACAACACCTTTATTTTTAGAATTTCAACAATCGAGGATCCCAAATCCAGTCAGAAATGAAGAATTTTGAGAATATATTTGGAAAATGACTGGTATGTTGAGAATTATTGTGCGAACTAAGTTGGCTGTCTGTTGTAAGGGATGCACATCACCACATGTTCTATGGTGACCTGGTGCGAAAGCGTGACCAAGCGCCTTCAGATAGCTTGTGTTCATTGAAACCAGTGTGGTCATCATTAATTTTGAAGGCGTAAAATACTCTTTACTTTGAGGATTTATTTATCGATGCGTTAGGTTACACTAATTAGTGAGATTTAATACACAGCTAAGATCAACATGGATGATGTTCTCACCAGGTTATCGAGCAAACACAGATTCTACTCTAGATCGTCAAAATAGGGTTAAAGATCAGGTAATTCTGTCGCCAAAATAACGAGCACAAAGGATGAGAGTCTCTGTATCAAGCTTTTTCACTTATCATGCGGTGGAACATACGGAGTGTGTCAAACAAACAAACATTTAATCGGTTAATCATTTTCTTATGTGTGTGTGTTTTTGCTGCAATTTTGTGTTCTTTCCCTTAATGGCTGCATATAAAGTCATTCAATTATAAATGACTCACATGTGTTTTCAAACTTACCTTCAAAAGCTCTGTCCGTATTCTCTTCTCTTACTCTGTATGGCTGGACTGACTGCAGTAAATCATTTACATCTAACTATCTTTTGCCTTCGGATCCTTTGAGCGGATGTAATTTCAATCATACCCAGATAATTAGGCTAAAAGTATGTAGTGAATTACCACAATTCGACCACACGTAAGACCAAAAAAGCATGGTAGATCACCAAAGCTTTCTTATCAAAGTGGTGTTCAGTTATGTCAGTCTTCATTATTAAGTGAATGTTTAGATCAACTCATGCTTTTTTAGCGGTAAATAAATCCCCAAAATAAATAGCTCTGTAAGTTTTCGACATTGGATGCAGACCACAGTTTTAGCGGACTCATCTAGCTGAAGGAGCTCGGTCATACATCCGCACCAGTCCACGTGTGGGAACGTCGTGCTCAACATCTACTGCAATGGCTAGCCAGATTAGATCAAATGATCCTCGATATATTGATAGCTTGTCAAATATATCTTCGATCTCCTCGCTTCTGTCTTTTGATTTGACTTGGTGGGTACGATTCATATTATGTGTTACTGGTTAAAGCGTTGTCAAACCCCGAATACCTGTGGCATCTTCATTGGTGAGGCCGACGTGATCTAGTACACCAAATTAAAAACTGTGAGTCTGTTCCTTTTTGAGATTTTACATATCATTGCCTTCTTTTAATTTTTCATACATTGTGGTCTTTTCCGTGTTTTTTTGGATATATATTTCTCACTCGTTCGTTCTCGTACTTGAAATTTCACCATGACTGAACAGACACCTAAGGTACTTAAGTCGAAGACTATGTCCCCACCGTCGTTCCAACTTATGCCCTTCTGGCCAGACAACGTTGAAGCCTGGTTTTGCTACGCAGCAGCCGACTCCTGCGAGCACGGCTCGAACTACACACGTGCACAATTCCTCACAGTAGTCAAGGCACTACTGCTAGAATTCAACAAGTACGTAACATCTAGTATGTTTACTAGTGATGTTTCAGAACCCTACGAAACACTTAAATGATCCATCCTTAAACAAGGAGATATAACCGATCGACAAAGGTTAGACCAAATCCTTAATAACATCGACTTGCGACATAGTTTTGCCACAGACATGTTGCAAAGAATGAGAGAGGTTGTCGGCCAAAGAACCTTCGATGATGGCCTGTTCAAACAACTATTCTTATCCAAACTTCCTCAACAGGTGCAAGCTATGCTGGTCTCGTTTCGAAACAACGCCGTAGACGAGCTGGCTGAATCTGCCGACCGCATCCTCGAAATCACTAGATCTTCAAACGCCGTGATTTTTTCAGTCAAAGAAAAGCCTCAAACGACCCAGAATGACATTACAGAGTTGCGTCATACACCTACACTTACTTACTTACGCCTGTTACTCCACGCAAAAAAGCATAGGCCGCTCACCAGCGTTCTCAATCCAACCCTGTCCTGGACAATTCTTTCTAGCTCTTTCCAGTTCTTATTCATCCTTTTCATATCTGCTTCTATTTCCCGACGTAATGTGTTCTTTGGCCTTCCTCTTTTCCGCCTCTCTTCAGGATTCCAAGTTAGCGCTTGCTTCGTAAAGCAGTTTGATGATTTGCGTAATGTATGTCCTATCCATTTCCATCGTCTTTTCCTAATTTCCTCTTCAGCTGGAAGCTGGTTGGTTCTCTCCCACAAAAGGCTGTTGCTGATGGTATCCGACCAATGGATGTTGAGTATCTTGTGTAGACAGCTATTGATAAATACTTGTACCTTCTTGATGGTGGTTGTAGTAGTTCTCCAATTTTCAGCTCCGTACAGTAGAACTGACTGTCTTGACGTTCGTATTGAAGATTGTGAATCTGATATTGGTTGAAAGTTGTTTTGAGTTCCATATGTTCTTTAATTGAGGGAATGCTATCCTTGCTTTGCCAATCCTCGCCTTGACGTCTGCATCTGAACCTCCTTGTTTATCAACGATGCTTTCCAGGTATGTGAATGATTCCACATCTTCCAGAGTTTCGTCATCAAGAGTGATTGGAGTGCTGTTCTCCATGTTGTATTTGAGGACCTTGGTTTTCCCTTGTGTGTGTTGAGGCCTACTGATGCAGAGACTGATGCTATGCTGGCTGTCTTTCTCTGCATTTGTTCGTGTGTATGTGATAGGAGGGCTAGTTCATCTGCGAAGTCCAAGTCGTCTAATTGGTTCTGAGCTGTCCATTGTATGCCGTGTTTTTCCTCAGATGTCGAGGTCTTCATAATCCAATCGACCACCAGAAGAAAGAGGAAGGGGGAGATTAGACAGCCTTGTCTTTCCCCGGTCCTTACTAGGAATGCGTCAGTCAGCTGTCCTCCATGCACTACTTTGCACTGTAGTCCATCGTATTAGTTCCGGATAATATTGACAATCTTCTTAGGAACTCCGTAGTGTCGAGGAAGTTTCCATAACGTTCCCTTATCTACGCTGTCAAATGCCTTTTCAGAATCAATGAAGTTGATGTAGAGTGACAAGTTCCATTCAATTGATTGTTCGACGATGATCAGTAGTGTCACAATTCAGTCTTTGCACGACTGGTCCTTACACAATCCAGCTTGTTGATCTCGAAGTTGAGCGTCTACTGTGTCTTTCATCCTGTTCAGTAACACTCTGTTAAAGACTTTTCCTGGTATTGACAGTAGTGTAATGCCTCTGTAATTTTCACACTTGCTCAGATCTCCTTTCTTTGGAATCTTGATCAGGTGTTCTTCTTTCCAGTCCATCGGCACTTGTTCCTCCTCACAAATCTTCTTGAATAGAAGATGAAGCATGCTTGTAGTTACTTCGATGTCTGACTTCAACGCTTCAGCCGGTATATTGTCAGGTCTTGCTGCTTTCCCGCTCTTGATTTGTCTGACGGCTATTCTGATTTCTTCGGTCGTTGGTCGATTGGCATCTATAGGAAGATCTGTGTGTGCTGCTTCGATGTCCGGTGGATTCATTGTAGCTGGCCTATTGAGGTGTTACTCGAAGTACTCTGCTGTTGCTGAATCTCAGTGATTGGCCTGCTTTTTTTGTCTTTGACTGGTCTCTCTGGTTTACTATATTTTCCTGCTAGTCTCTTCGTTGTATCGTAAAGCTGTCTCATATTTCCTTCTCTTGCAGCTTTCTCCGCCGTCGTTGCTAGTCCTTCCACGTATTTCTGCTTGTCAGCTCTAATGCTCTTCTTCACTTGCTTGTTTGCTTCTATGCACTCAGCTTGTGCTTGGACTTTCTCTGCTCGTGTTCGACTATTGTTAATTGCTGTCTTCTTGTTCCTCCTTTCTTTGATCCTATCCAGTATTTTTATAGAGATCTATTTCTTGTGATGATGCTTCTTGGAGCCCAGAACCTCTTGACACGTTGAAGTTAATGCTTCTTCGATACCTTTCCAGTTATCCCTCATAGTAGTTTCTTCTTCCTTCAGTAG